ACATATAAACAGAACAGTACACAAATAACCAGTGTGCAGTCTGCTGTAATGTTACAAACTGAACACGTGGGGGAAGCAACACTGAGCACATGAAACAGAATATTCCTAGAATTCCAGAAGCCCCCTTGAGCTCTCTTCCTGCTGTGCTCCCAAAGACAACTACTGTCCTTTGGCTTTTCACACTATAAATTAGTCTTGTCAGTTTTTTAACTGTTCTGTCAATGGGACTACACAGTATACATACATATATATATACATATATATACACACAAACATGCACATATATATACTACATAGTCTTCCATATCTGGCTTCATCCATACTGTTGGATAAACCATACTTTATTCCATTGCAGATGGGCATTTGGGTAATTTCCAGTTTTGCACTATTACAAACAGTGCTAAAATAAACATATTCTTGTACATGTCTTTTGACAAAAGCTTTCATTCTTGTGCTTTGTGTCTTTAGTCAGGCACTAACTTGGGAAACAAGACTGGAAAAGTCATAGTGCTCACCTGCTCTAAACACTTGGTACTAGACAGAGAGCTCGGAGCCTGAGTGTCTGCATGGTGTACATGTGTGCATGTTTGTCATCAGGGGATGGGTAAATCAACTGTTGATGGCATTTCCTTTGTACCCCCCAATAATCTTATGAAATAAGTGTTTTATTATCCCCATTTTACAAATAATGAAACAGAGGGTTTATGTAACATGTTCAATGTCATACAGCTTTTAATTGGTAGGACCAGAAGAAGTAAGAGAGAGAAGAGAATTTCAGAGTTGAGAATTTCTGGAAAGAAGAGAAGTGAGAATCTGGAGTACATGTGCACGGAGGAAGGAGGAAGGTTATGGGGCAAAACTTACTCAGCAGCTCCCAAACTTCCACAAATGCCAAAACAGCTTAAAAATTACTCAGTTCCCAATTGAGTCTAGTTCTTCTTATAATGTAACCACTTACTTAAAATTTCCCTTACTGCTATTGATTCAATTCAGTTCCTAATGGGGTACAAAACCCTTCAAGAGACATCAGCTTTCCCTCTCTTATAATCTCATCTCCGGAAGGAAGATGGGGCAATCTACTTCCGTAGTGATACTGCCTTGGAAACCCAAGAACGGGTCGCTATGAGTCGGGTCCGACTTGACAGCACATAACAACAACAACAACAACATAATCTCATCTATCTGCCTCCACTGCTGCAGTCTCCATGTGTCTGCATTAAGGGTATTAAGGAAAAAGAACCATGCCATTATCAATTCAAATATACCTGAAGGCCCAGAACTCATCCTGAGAAACTGAGAGAGTCTTGTGTTTTCGAGACCAGGTGTTTCCCCTGCTGTTCCCCATCCAGACATCAAAACCAGCATCAGCAAGGATGAAGCCCAGGCTGCTGTTGGCAAGGTTTGTGATCCAGTTACTAGAATCTGCAAGCAAGCCGTGCTGCAGGTACACAACTGGTCTGGGGCCTGTAAAACATACATGTTTCGGATTCAGCAGTACTACACTTCAAAGAGAACACGGTAGGTTACTAAACTGGTCATTCATGTAAGATTCCACTGCAAATAACGAAACAGAAATAAATTAAAATACTCAACAGTGCATTCCTACATAACAGTAGTAAAGAATTTCTTTCAACACTGCTGGCAGATATGCAACAAAACTGGACTATCTTTCATGTCTGGTAATAAGAGACACTGGCTTAAGCATAAAACCATCTTTTTAAATATATCTTTAATAGCTTTCTAAATGTTTCTGCAATTTGCTCCAGTAATTGCATTTCTCACAAAGTACCCTAATAAAATAAACCAAAAGAAAGGAAAGATCACATGCAAAATTCATAAACATACAGAAAAACATCAGTTTGTTTTCTTTTCATCTGTTCCTGGGACCCTGTGATGTAGTGGAAATACCATATTCTTAGGAGCCAAAGAAGCCTGACCTCAGGCTACTTACATACCGGGCCAGATTATCCAATTAGCAAGGTAAGCACAGGCTCACTTGTGCTTATTTACTAATCTGTAGTGAACAATTTCACATTTTTTCACCACATAAAGGTGGTTCTTCTAGGTATGGCTGGCATCTGTCCCTCTCCCAACCCCCTAGCACCTTCCCATACAATCAAAGTCTCTTTTCCAATTTATAATCTCTGATGGGCATGAAGTACTCAGTAAGCAAAGTAAACATGTGCTTACTTACTAATCTGCAGTGAACAGTTTCCTCTTTTGTTTCAGCTGTAGTGAAACTATTCACTACAAATTAGTAAATAAGCACAAGTAAGTCTTTTCTTACCTTGCTTATTTGATAATCCTCGCTATTTACATGTTGAGACCTTCAGTCACCCATTAAACAAGCATTTACTGAACACTAACTGTGTGCCAGGCTTTCTTCTCAGCACTAAGGATACAGTAGAGAAGAAAAACAGAAGAAAAACCCTGCCCTCATGGCGCTGATATTTTATGACCGTGAGCTTCTGAGTCAGGCAAACCTGAATGCGTTCATCATAGACTAAGAGCAAAGCAGCCCCGTGTGTGTGCAGGGGGCAGGACAGAGCAGGGGTGAACACAATTCAACTATTTGGTAAGACATCTTTAACAGGGGATGAGAGACGAAGCCACTTTTTCTCTAATTCTCCTTGTTTGTTTGAGTTCCCTCATCTCTCACTTCAAGCTGCTCATAAAAGCTCAATGAACAATAGATACAAATGATGTCAGCACCTGGGACGGGCAGATGAGAAGAACAAAGTTAATCTACTCTCAAAAAGCTAAAACTTTCCAAATCTGGAGAACTTGGAGTAAAAACTACAAAGAGTACTGCAGATGACTTTGTTTTCTCGTGGTGAATGCCAGGAAACAGGCTGACCCAGAAAGATAAATGCTTTGGTGTGACACACGCCTGGCCTTAATTACCTGAAGCCAGTCAGCTGTGTCCTATTACAATGTCCATTCATTTGAAAACTGAATTAGCAGAGTGGCTATTTTACTGAAAATCTGATGTATTTTAAGCAATGTTGTTATTGTGTGTGCTCTCCTGTTGACCCCAAGTCATAGCTACTCTAAAGGGCAGAGTAGAACTGCCCACAGGGTTCTCAAGGCTGTAAATCTTTACAGAAGCAGACTGCTGCATCTATCTCCTGCAGAGCTGAAGATGGGTTCAAACTGCCAATCTTTAGGTTAGCTGCTAAGCGCTTAACCATTGCACCACCAGGGCTCCTTCTAAGCAGAGCACTCAAAGAAAAAACCAAACTCACTGCCATCCATTCTATTCTGACTCATAGCGACCCCTATTGGGTTTCCAAGGCAGTAAATCTTTATGGAAGTGGTTGGTTCCATCTTCTTTTGTGAGTTGCTGGTGGGTTTGAACCATCAACCTTCTTTCTGGTTAGCAATCAAATGACTTAGGCACTATGCCACCAGATCTTTAAGCAGAGTACCAAAAAAAAAAATCAATCAAATGATTCAAAACACATTTTACATTTTATGTAAATGTATACTGGTAAATACTTTGTATTAGCCATTCTGCTAGATGTTGGGAAAACAAAGATGGGTAACCCCTGCTCTCTGCCCCAAGGAACTCCATTCTAGTGAAAATGACAGACATGTATTTCCCTTGCAGCCCAGCATTGAAAATATCAGAATACCACCTAGGAAAACCCAGAGAGAGGAAAGAGAACATCATTTAGCCAAAAGGAGAAATATTTGAGCTGGATATTTGTTAGGTGAGAGATAAGATTTTCCCACAAAGAATTCTGGGGATGAAAGAGGGGCCCATTGGCCTGAGACTGTGCCCAGGTCTCCACAGGGTAGGACCCCAGAGCATACATTAAAAAGCTCCTTGTATGAATTTGATGCTTAGCCAGATTGGAGAACCACTGGTAAAGTTCAGTGCCTTATCTGATCTGAGGGTGGAGGGGATACAGACTTTGTGGCATGCTCACTCTTCCAGGCTGGGCTAATTTTGAGAAGGAAAGAGCCCCTCAGATAAAGGAAATGAAGTAGATCTTCCACTGGGCTTCCAAGGCCAGTGATTCCATTAAGCATGATATAAGTCACCAACAAATTAAAAATATGAACAAATTTTGGGGTGGGAAATCTTTGAAAAGTGGGTGCTAAAGTGCTTGCCCCTTTCCTCTGCATTCAAGAGAGTGCCAACATAGACAAGGGCAGTAGAAAGAGACCTGTGCACCTGTCTGTGGCTTCTCTCACTTGTTGCCATCAAGGGAAAGAAAGAAAGGTACAATGTAGTTCTTTCACATTTTACCACCAACTAAGGATAAGGATTTGCTGGAAAAAGAAGTTGTTCTGTAGGGAGGGTTAAACCTACTGCCGTTCTCACCTTCCAGTGAATTATGTTCATCAGATTTCTTTTCACCTTGCTACTAAGAGAAGCTGAATGAAATGATGCTAGCTCCTATTGAGTGTTTATACTTTCTAGCACTCTACTGTGCTAGAAATCCTATGAAGTTGGTCCTACTCCCATCGAACAGAATGGAGACTGATGACTAAGTCATTTGCTTAAGGTTAAACTAGATCTTGTAAGTGGTTAATTGGTATCTGAACCCAAGCATGTCAGATGCCAAGATCCATGCTCTTAACCACTTTGCTACAGGGAAAGACAAATAAGAGAGAAGTCGTTGTAGAACATAGAGAAGAGGCTCAGAGAATGATAAGCCAAAGGGAAAAGCTACTTTGGAAGGATTTGAACCTTCCAGGGGCTTGGAAGAAAATAATCTCTGATAGATGGAAGAGATAAAGGATGGGAAGCAGGGACACCAAACCCAACCTTGCCCACTGGGTTAGTTCTCAGGACCAGCCCATTCAGTGATCCAGCACCTTGAGGCCTATTTCTGACAACAAACAACACAATAGACAAGGGTTACCCTCCCAGCCCATGCCCTGTAGCTGGCTTATTTATCCCAAACTGGCTCTAGGAGGACTAGGGGCTGAGGGCAAGGCCTAAAAGGACCATTTCTTGGCCCAGAGAGGGGCAGTAGCTTCATCAAGGTCTTCTATTAGTTAGCCCAGAGCCAGTAAAGGGCTCAGTGATGGCTCCTCACAATGCCATCCCGCTTGTTGAGGCCCAAATGTGGGTGGAAGTGAGGGAAGCATTACTCAGTCTCCAAAACTGAATCTGCTGAGCTCACAGTCCCACAGAAGGAAGATGACCTTGTGGGTGGGGACGTTCCTCCTGCCTCCCAGGATCCTGGCCTTCTCAGCCAGCTCACTGTGTCTGAATGGGCTTCCACCATGCTCCAAAAGGGCTGACAGAAACCCACTGAGGTCCCGTGGAAAACTACAAAGAAGAGCAAGCAGCAGGTCAAGGGTTAGGACCAAAAGAATGGGCACTAGCTTTAGACAGTCCTTGGCTCTCACCAGCACGCTAGCTGCAAAACCTTGTAGGAGTTACTCAACCTCCTGAAGTATAGGTGTCCTTTTCTAAAGTGGAGATGATAATAGTATAGTGTCAAGAAATAATGCCGTCGATAGCTGCCATTGGTTGACACTTACTCACACTGACCCCACACACAAGGGAACAAAATACCACCTGGTGCTGCACCATCCCCGTGATTGGCAGCAGATCAGACCACTGTGATCCGCAGCATTTTCACCGGCTGTTTTATGAAGTAGATCACCAGGCCTTTCTTCCTTGTCTGTCTTAGTTTGGAAGCTCTGCTAAAACCTGTTCAGCATCATTGCAACATGAAAGCCTCTACTAACAGATGGGCAGTGGCTGAGCATGAAGTGCATGCCAAGGAATCCCACATGGAGAGTGAGAATTCTACAACTGCACCACCACTGCCCGCCAAGAAATAACAGCCACTGCCTTTCTGCTCTCCTTCCCCTTCTCAGCCACCACAGTCTCTCCTTAGCTTGCATTATGGCATCTTGAGTTCACAGAACCATACAATTGGCAAAATAATGGGAGATTATCTAGCTCTGGTCCAAAATATGCACTTAGTAGGCGGGAACAGAGTGGTCCAGAGGAGGGAGGCACATGCAGGCAGGCACCTGGCCACAGAGGATGGCCTCATCCCCTGCCCCCATACATGGGTCTTTGTATTATATTCTGACTTTAGCACCTCTGCACTTGGTAAACTGACATCAGCATCTTCCTTCCTCCCTTATAATTTAGAATGCAATCCTGCCGTGGAGAACTGGAGGCTGAGGAAGCAGGCATTAGAGAGCAGGGCAGATCCATTCTGATTCTTAAAAAATAAGACCAGCAACAATAGCTTCCATTTATATTGGGCTTCAGAGGCCTTATTTCATCTAATTTTCACAACCTATGAACTAGAAAGTTTTATTCTTCCCATTTAACAGATGAATAATAATAATAATAAAACTTAGAGACATTATATAAAGTTCCAAGGTCACACAGCTGGTTAAAGAAGTAGCCAAAAACCAAACCAAACTCACTGCTGGATCTTAAACCCAAAGCTGGCACTGTCAGCATGCTCACACTTAACTAC